ATTCATCTCTTATTCGGATTATTTGCGTCTTCTCTCTCTTTTCTTTTGTGAGTTTTGCTAGTGGAGTATCGATTTTGTTGACCTTTTCAAAGAATATGTTCTTTTTAAAGCTTGCTCATAAATGAGAAATGACACAAAGCTTATTGCTTCATAAGCCCTCTGCTGGCTTGTTTATTTTGACTCATGGTGGCCTTCTTGATTTACTGAGGCGGTAAATCTCAACTGGCAATTACCTTATCTTTGTCTCCTGTTATAGCTGACAGAACCGAACTGCTAACTTTTCAGTTTGCAACCCAGCACTAAGCCTACTGTGGCACCAGGGCTCCCCCACAGTCACCGAGTATTTCTACTCGCAGTACTTAAAGCATGGCAGTTTACATCTCAGATTGTTGTTACGTGCATTCAAGTCACCTGTGACTTCTAACGCCCTATGAACAGCAGCTCCTAACCCTGCCCTAACCTGTGCCATCCTCACCATTTCCATCCAACACGTCTGCACTCATTGTTGCAGTTACTGTGTCAGTCCATCTCAACCAGTGTTTCTTTCTTACGTTGACTCTCTACATTTCTAAGCATGATGTCCTTCTCCAAGGAGGACTGGCCCCTCCTTACAACATGCCCAAAGCATGTGACACAGAGTTTACCCATCCTTGTCCCCATGGAGAATAAGGCTTTAATGCTCATCATCCAGGTGAGAGAGGAAGTCAGGAGGTGGGCCTCTGGTTCCTAGATCAGTAGAGGAGTCTTAAGGGATGCTGGGAAATAAAAGAAAGCTGGGTTTCCCTTTGCCTTTATGCCTGACTACAGGGAGGTCTGGGGACCTAGTGAGTAAGGAGTTGCACTGTTAACCCGAAAGCAGGGAGTTTGAATCCACCAGCTATTGTGCGGGAGAAAGATGGGCCTTTGCCTCCAATGCAGTTTACAGCCTCTGAAAATCTGCTGAAATCTGAGTCCTTTCTGACTCCACAACAGTGAGTCTAGTGTTGTTGAAAGCTATTAGAGTTGTGGGGATGAGATTTTTAATGGGAAAGGTTTCCATGATGGTCAGTGTAGAACACTGAAAAGATAAGGGCAATTTGTAAAATTTTTACTTTAAAATTCTAACATGATATAGAAGTCCACTTTTTTACAGTAGAACCCTAGGAGCATTCTAACGAAACATCCACCCAATCTGTAGTGTGATCAGAAGTGGAATCAAAGAGGTTGTACTTTCTTCCCCTTCAGAGGCGTGTCCAGCAATGATTTTTCTTCTTTGGAGACTTTATGTAAGAAAATCATTAAAGAAAAACAAGCTTTTGAAAGATTGGAAGTCAAGAAAGAAACTTTACTGGAAATGTTTAAGGTAATTGAACCATAACTTACGTCTCCCACTTTTATTATGTCGTTCATTGTATAAACTGAACTTGTCCTGCCTAGATATCTAGTCTAAAGCTTACTTTGCTTATAAGAAAAATTTAGCTATGTTTTTAATATCTGAAGGAATGGAAAATTTATATTCATAAAATACTTTGTTAAGATGTGCTAGATGTTAGGAATTAAATTTTAGTTACATATAAGTATTAAGATGTTTTAAAAAGTTTGTATTCTTGTTGTGTATTTGTTTTTAGTACAACAAATTCAAATGCCGAATATTGAATGAAAAAGTAAATACTCCAACTACCACGGTCTATAGGTGAGAATACCAAAAGTCATTAAATGCAACTGCTTCATACCCTATTTTAAATTTTCATTAAGATTCCTCTCATTTCCTCTGTAGGTGCGGCCCTTTGATAGATCTCTGCCGAGGTCCTCATGTCAGACACACTGGCAAAATTAAGACTTTGAAAATACACAAAGTAAGTAATGTCCTTAAAGTTTCTATGTAACATTTGTCTAGCAGAGTTGACATGGTTAAGCTTCTGTTGATTTCCCAAGAAGCAGATGGTGGATTTGAACCACCTGCCTTTGGGCTACCAGTGCAACATAGTTAAGTGGTTAAATTTTCTTAGTAGCTCTCTTTTACATTTGTATGGATGCTTTTTTTTTCCTTGCCACATCTGTTTTCTGATCCAAATTACCTTCTAACAGAGGGACTGGCCAGAGCGCAGGGGGTTGGAATTTACCGGATTCACAAGTCCACAAGCTGGCTGAGATCACTGAGGCACTAAAGCTTCCCGAATCACCATAGTAATACACATCTCAGTCCTCAGTACATATTATTAGTCTATCATTTGCCAAAAATGTTCTTTTTGAAAATATTCTTACTTTTATATCTTTGCAAGTGGTCTGTGAGTTCATAAATGTTTTTCTGTGCACTTGAAATCATGAGAGTAATCGAACCATTTCCAGTTGAATGTTGTTTTTGTTTGATTGAGTTAGTTTCCATTTTTGTTTAATATTTGTGCAAGAGGTAACTTGCTGGGGTCACTGTGCCCATGGGGTGTGATTTGAAGTTCTTAAGGAGCAGGCATTTGTGAGGAAGGAAAGAGCCAGCTTGGTGTTCCAGAGTGAGCACCTCCACTATGACCAGACCCCAGGGCAATCTCAAGACGTTTTCCTAAAGGCGTCTTTTGTGTCATTTCTTTTCTTTTCCCCCTTCCAAGAATTCATAGGCATTTGGCTCATCAGGTGACTATGAGAAATGACATCTAGTTCTTAAGTGTAAAATAGAAACAAATTTAAATGTTGTCTTATGGTTTATCCTTGTTTTCAGAATTCCTCCACATACTGGGAAGGCAAAGCAGATATGGAAAGTCTCCAGAGAATTTATGGTATTTCATTCCCAGACCCTAAAATGCTCAAGGAGTGGGAGAAGTTCCAAGAGGAAGCGAAAAACCGAGATCACAGGAAAATTGGGAGGGTATGTTAAAGAACGGTGTGGAGACCTGACGGAGTTTATGTCACTTTATTTGAAAGGAAAAATGTCCCAGTGTAATGGAATAGAAACGCCTTTTGAAATGGGATAGCTTTGAAGTATTGATGGTGCTTATGACTGTAATGTACCTACTGATTGTACACATTTTCTTTCCAAACTCTGCTCAGAATGTGTTTTAATTGCTACTTTCATGGAGAACAAACACTAATGACATGCTGTTTTCTGTCCAAGCCACCCAACAGCATTTTCAGAAGGATTCTGTGGTGTCATTTGTCTCTGTTAATGTGTATAGTCCCCGCCTGTCTTCTAAATTTGAGTGTATTTTTGATAAGAACATTCATTCCTACATTCACTGTATGCCGAGAGTCCTTGGCTTTTAGATTATGAAACTTTATCAAGTGCCAGCATCTACTACCCTGTAACCTTGATTGCCTCAAATGAATTCCAACAGTAAGAAAGCAGTTTTGTGGCCCCTCCCCAAGATTTGGGGCCGTTTAAATTTGGGGGAACGGTGGCCAAGGAGAGGAGAGAGTGCTAAGAAGTCCTTCCGTTTCCTGACTAATCAGCTAAAGTCAGCCAATTTGGTCTAGTTCAATATCAATGCAATTTTATTCCTACTTCTGCTATTGAACGGACTTAATAAACATCCTCACCACCGGATCTTGAAGCTTTGAGGAATTGAAAACTCTGAGTGCTGCTCAGGTGTGGATAGTGGAAGAGAACTGAGTAGACCCCTGCTCTGTTTCACTGCTGGGGAAACTTTCCATAATCCAGGGTGAAAGTAGGTAGGAAGCATATTTGTGTTAAGTTGTAAGCCAAATGCAATTCTGTGTCATTAAATTGTCCATTTTGGCACTAATTAAAATATGGGATGTTGTTGTTAGGTGCCATCGAGTTGAGTACAACTCATAGCAACCCTGCGAACAAAAGATCTGAACTTCGTCCTCCCCTGCACCATCCTCACACTTCTTGACACACACAAAACCCGTTTGTAGTAGTCACCGTGTCAGTACAGATGGTTTGAGGGTCTTCCTCTCCTTTGCTGACCCTCCACCCTTCCCAGCATCATAGCACCTCCTAGCAATTATGTCCAGAGTATGAGAGATGAAGGCTCTTCATTCTTGTCTCCAAAGAACACTCTGGCTGCACCCTCCCCAAGACATATCTATTTGTTTTCTTGGCTGTCTATGCTTCTTCTCCAACACCACAGCTCCAAGACACCAATTCTTTTTCTGTCATCCTTATTCATTGTCTAGGTCTCAGATGCATAGCTAGTAATCGGAAAGACCATGGCCTGAATCAGACACACCTTAGTCCTCAGACTGACGTCACTTCTCCTCAATACTTTCAAAAGGTCCCTAACTTCAGATTTTCCCAGTGCAGTGTTTGTCCTTATTTCTTGACAGCTCATACCAAGGGTGTTAATTGTGGATTCAAGCAAACTGTCAACAATTTCAATCTCCTCTCTATCCATCATGGCACTGCCTGTTGTTACAGTGGTAATGACCATATTAAGAGGTCAAAAAACTTGATGTTTGTGTTGATATTATAAATATATGTAAACATCCTTTTGTTCTCTTTTTTTTTTTAAACCCAGGACCAAGAATTGTATTTCTTCCATGAACTGAGCCCTGGAAGTTGCTTTTTCCTGCCAAAGGGAGCTTACATTTATAACACACTTATTGACTTTATCAGGGTGAGCTGTTTTCATTTTTGTCATCTGTAAATTTTGTTAAGTAAGATCTAAAGGAAAGGATACTCTAACATTTGAAAAGAATTAAAATATGTCTGCCATTTCATACAATGTTTAAAAATTTTTTTTCTTCTGAAAATGTGATGTTGTTTGTCCATCTGTGAGGATATATACACTAGAGATAAACTGATAAACTTGAAATGAGACCTTTACCCATGAAGTTGCTGCTCTCTTTGACTATTAGTTATATTTTTCTGGAAAAATCAAGTCAGTCTTTACATTGTTTTATTTATTTTTTTTTAATTATTTCTGCCTTAAATTATGGAACCATCTAACCATAAGTTTCAGTATACAGAATAAGAAAGATAGTGTGTGTATTAACAACCCAGATATGACAGATACTCCCAGTGTGATATATTTGCTTCTGGATTTTATTTTAGAAATAGAGTATGGCAAAAAAAAATTTAAAAAAAAAAAGAGAGTATGGCATACAGAGTGGACATTCCCCTTTGGAAGCTTTTTCTGATGTGTTCTTCTCCTTTCCTAGACAAAAGTGTTGTTTAGAGATTGACGTGTATCCTTTGTGCCCCTGTTGTTTTTTACTGTTCCACTTAGATTGTTAGGTTTTGTGAGCTTCATATTTACATAAGTGGCATCTCATCATGTATTAGTCTGCATTCTGACTTTTTTTTTAAGATACAGACAAATATATGTTGCCATTTTCACTGTTGCATCTTATTTTGTAGCTATCACAATATTCCACTTTTTATTTATGAGCATCTGTATAATGTCTGGTTTTCATATATAATTTATGTTGCAATTAGCCTCCTTTTATAAGCATCTTATTATATACATATGCAAAATTTTCCTCTTTACCTTATACCCACAAATAGAATTTCTGAGTCCTAACATGTATATCTTAAGCTGAACTTGATTGTATTTTTGAAACTGTAGTTTAAGGGTGTTGTTTGGGTTTTTTAAAATTTTTCTCTGACCTTTGTCCCCCTTATGCATGTGCTCTATCTCTCTGATTTCTAATAGAGTGAATATAGGAAGCGAGGATTCCAGGAGGTGGTGACCCCGAACATCTACAACAGCCGACTCTGGATGACCTCGGGTCACTGGCAGCACTACAGTGAGAACATGTTCTCCTTTGAGGTGGAGAAGGAGCTGTTTGCTCTGAAGCCCATGAACTGCCCAGGACATTGGTATTCAGTGGCTTTGAGTTCCTATGAACGTTTTCTTGGGCGACAGTTAGCTCCATATTGCATTTCCTCCTTTGAGAGACTTTTTGTAAAAAATAAATTAATGTAATGAAAAACTATTTAAATGAAACACTGTTGGAATATCTTACACATCACTTGAATACCTAAAACAGTAACATTCAAGATGGTGTAAAGCTGGCAGTATACAAGAAAGAAGCAGAATATAACACAGGGAGAGTGAATCTGAGCCTTAGCAAATTTTCTCCACCAAGAGAAATAGTCACCATGTTGTTGTCATTATGTGCCATCGAGTCACTTGTGACACATAGTGACCCTGTGTACAACAGCTCTGATCTCTGCTCTATCTATCCTGAGCCTACCTTATTGTCTGTGACACATCTATCTCCATTCCCCATCACTGAATCAGTCTGTCTCATCCAGGGTCTTCCTCTCTTTTGCTATTCCTTCACTCTCCCAAGCATAATATCCCTCTCCAAGGTGGTCCCTCCTTGCAACATGGCCAGAGTATGTCAGACGAAGCTTCAGAATCCTTGCCTTCAATGGCAGACGGTTTCACCCTCTCTAGGACAAACCTGTTTGTTTTCCTAGTAGTCCATGGTATAATCAATACTCTTCTCCAGCACCACAGCTCAAAGGCATCAATCTGCCTTCTAACATCCCTAGTCATTGTCCAGCTTTTTGTTGCATAGCACATAATTAGAAGACCATGACCTGGATCAGGTGCGCCTTAGTCTCCAGACGGACATCTTTGCTCTTAAGTACTCTGGGATGTCCCTGACATAGCCTACTGCTAATGAGTTGACATGTTTGGAAAGTTTCCTCGTGAGCCGGCTCCACATTTAACCCTTGAAAGTAAAGTGAAAACAACTAACGGGCAGGTCTCATACCCAGCGCCATGTACTCTCCACACTTAGGAGTAAGGATTCAAGGATAGAAGATGTAGAAGACCAACAAGACATGAGGAACTGAGGTTGGCCACTAAGGAACAAGCTGGATTTATTCTTCATTTTCTCACATTCTTCAGTTTCTCACGCACCTTTAGACAAATGGAGAATTGGTGCACCTCTAGGAATAACAAGAAAGCACACCATACTTTAGTTGATATTGTTATAAATGGTCATTATGTAGTTAAATCTTAAAGACAGTCCTTATATTATTGTGAATATTGAGTGGAAGGAGTTTAGGCTTAAGGAAATTATTTTTTGTTGTTGTTTTCCTGATTTTTTTTTTTAGCTTTAGCTGTAGTTACTTGTGTTTTCACTTATCTATGTGGTTTTTTTCTCCCTCCATGCATGTGCTTAAATTGCTATCCGACCATTAGAACTTGAGAAGTGTTCCTTGTTAGAACAACTAGAATCATTAGCTTTCTGAGAGCTTTCTGTATAACCCATGAGCTCATTAAAGAAGCCAGTTTAATGTTGTGAAATTACATCTCCGTGGCTTTTGTCCTTCTCTTTATGCAGTCTTATGTTTGACCATCGGCCCCGGTCATGGAGAGAGCTGCCTCTGCGGGTCGCGGACTTTGGGGTGCTGCACAGGAACGAGCTGTCCGGGGCGTTCACCGGCCTCACCCGAGTGCGGAGGTTCCAGCAGGACGATGCTCACATCTTCTGCGCCATGGAGCAGGTCCGAGGCTTGCATGATAACACACCCCGAGAGTGAGGCCGCCAAGCCAAGGAAAATAACCGCTGTTTCCTCTTTTTCCTTAAAGATTGAAGAGGAAATCAAAGGTTGTTTGGATTTTCTGCGTACTGTCTATAGTGTATTTGGATTTTCTTTTAAACTGAACCTTTCTACTCGGCCCGAAAAGTTCCTTGGCGATATTGAGATATGGAATCAAGCTGAGAAAGTAAGTAGTGGCATTTTTAACCTGTTAAGCTCAAATAAGCCATTGCTCTAAAAGAGATTTGTGTGAGAGATGACATTTTTATGCAAATAATACGCATATAGTGCACGTAAGGAAGTAACCTGCAAGGAGATTGCATGGTTTGGAAAAAAAAAAGTGAAAACCCAATCCATATAATAGGGGGAAAATGATAAAGTAGAATAGTGAAGGCTTGGGGTCCTTTTAAGATTAGGGTGAAAGAAGGAATGTTGCAGATGAAGAAAAATAAAGATCGTTTTGGCTTTATCCTTAGCAACTGGAAAACAGCCTAAATGAATTTGGTGAAAAGTGGGAGTTAAACCCTGGAGATGGAGCTTTCTATGGTCCAAAGGTCAGTACCAAAGAATACCAATGGGTAGGTCTCTGGGTTGGTTGATTTTCATTTTTTTCCGTGTACAAGAGATTACTTTAAATTCAGAGGTTTTTTTAAAAAAAAGAAAGAAAAGGAAAATACATTGCTCCTTATGTGTTGAATTCCGATTAAACATAGATGGCATCCTGAAATAACCTGGACTTTGTTACTTAGATCGACATCCAGATTAAAGATGCGATTGGTCGCTACCATCAGTGTGCAACCATCCAGCTGGATTTCCAGTTACCCATCCGATTCAACCTTACCTTTGTAAGGTGGGTGTCTAGGTCTGCACTCAACAGTCTTCTCCAGGGATAGAAGGGAAATGTCTCAAAGCAAAGTAACCCCTGGGTTTTCTTCTTTTCTTATAGCCATGATGGTGATGATAAGAAAAGGCCAGTGATTGTTCATCGAGCCATATTGGGGTCTGTGGAAAGAATGATTGCTATTCTCACTGAAAACTATGGAGGCAAATGGTAATCTTGGTCATTTTTTGTTTTTGTCTGGACAGTGTGAATTCATTACAGGAAGGTCCACTCTGTTGTTTAATTATGACATTGAAAGGGAGAATAATTCTAATTGCTAACTTCTAACTATTGAACATTTTTATTGTCATGTGCTGTCAAGTGAGAACCAACTCAGCTGACCCACAGTTGAGTTTTCCATCCTTCTCCCCTGGAGCATCTGGTGGATTTTAACCACAGGTATCTGGGATTGCAGCACAGCTTCTTACTATTAGGACACCAGAGCTCACTGCTCCAGCCAGGGCAAAGGACAACCAGAGTATTCTTTGGAGGCAAAGATGACAAAGCTTCATCTCATACTGTAGGTGTGTTGTTAGGAGAGGCTATTCCATAGAGAATCATGCTTGGAAAGGTGAAAGGTCCGCAGAAGGAGGAAGACCCTCAACCAAATGGATTGACGGTGACTGCTGCAGTGGGCTCTCATATGTCTGAAATAAGAAGGATGGCACAGCGTGGGACTGGATTCAGATATGTTGTCCATAGGGTTGCTGAGACTCATATTTGCCTTGACAGCACCTAACAACAACAAAAATTAATGAAAAATGTTCACTAAAAAGTTTTGTTGTTATGCACCATTGAGTTGGAACTGACACATATGACCCTCTGGTGGGTTTTCAGAGGCAGTAAATCACAAGGGAGGAGATTGTGATTCTTCCACGGAGCAGGTGGTGGATTCAAACCTTTGACTTGGCACCTCGATTCCTTAAAATGTTAAGGGCCACCAGAGCTCGCTTCACTAATGGAACTCTAATTTTTTTTCAGCTTTAAAAAGATTTTTATTAGTAATTGTTCTCTCATAACAGGATTTAGCTGGCTGTTACATATCATCTGAGTAGGAAGAAGCGTGCTTGTTGTTTTAATTGCTTTTGAAGTTCCTTTGACTTTGCTTGGGGCATTTTCTCACTTTACCCTTCTTCACTGAGTAAACAAGAGTAGGCTTCTGGTTTCCCTTGTCAGCCTGCTGATCACATTGGGCAAGCATTTTGACATTCTTTAGAAGCTATGTATTCTCTGTACTATGAAATACCAACTCTAGATTGTTGGGTCACCTTATTTCCATTAGATTGTGTTTTTTCTGGCAAGATGTGAACACTGACTTCCGTTTTGTGTCTTCAGTGATTTTATCTGGGCCCACAGTTTGTAAAAACCGTTACACACAATGCAAGGTTTGGCACTCATTTTGTAAATTGCCGTATTATTTGTGCCAAACTTTTCTAACACATCAACTGGTTTCTCTTATCCTCTGTAGTCCTTTGTTTCTGTTTTGGCCAGTGCAAAGTTTTGGGGCAGAGTTGGTTTGGGTTTTTTTTAATAGTTGTCAGTGAAGTAAGTTCATTTTCCTCAATTATTGTTGTTAGGCCATTGAGTCTGATCCTTCAGTGAGGTTTAAGAGACTAATCACATGGGAAGGGATTATCCGTATTTATCCCTCAGAGCTGCTGGTGGATTTGAACTGCATGTCTTTGAGTCAGCAGTGAAACTCCTTATCCACTATGTTACCAGAGCTCCCTTCTCTTCAATTATGTTTTATGAAATCAAATCACATCTACCTGGCAACTAGAGAAAATGGCCTTTTTGACTAATTGTGCTACCAAACCTGTGACAAAATGGAGAAAACCTTTGGCACCTATTTTGGCCTTTTCCCTGATACAAAATAGGAAAACAGGAGAGATGTTGGCCTTCTGCCTTCCCCGTTGATGGTTGACACAGCGCACATGAAGTGCTCTCTGTAACAGGTGAATTGCACCTGGGAGCCTCTTTTGTAACTGGGAAAGCCCACTTGTTTCTAAATATCATCACCAGTTTTTATCAGGTACAGTTTGCTGAATCCTGAACATTGTCTCTTGGTATAATCCCCTGAAGACACGCTCTCTGTCCTCTGTGAAGAATAAATATAAAGTAGTGCTTGACTGACTACTAATCACTATGCGGTTATTTAACACTTTTCTAACCCCTCCCAAAGTGAGGCGGTCTGATACCTGTGAGGCATAAACTTCATCTTTAGTTTGAGTTGCCATCTGCTTGTAAGACACATCATCGTTTAAGTCTTTTGTTATTTAGGATCCTTCTCCACCCCAGGCTTTGGATATTAGAATTCAAAGCCAAGTTCTGAAGTCTGTTTCTTAAACTAACATTTTCCTATTTCAAGGAAAGATATTGAAGAGTAGACTAAGAAATGTGCCTTCTCTGCCCAAATCCACGTTAAGTGCTTTCTTTCTTTTCTAAAGGCCCTTCTGGCTGTCTCCTCGCCAGGTAATGGTAGTGCCTGTGGGACCCACATGTGATGAATACGCTCAGAAGGTAAGGCTTCAGCTCTGGCATTCCCATCAATCTATCCCTTGTTTGCTTTCCAAGGTGTGTAAGCCATCCGTTCTTGGCAAATCAAGCTGCTTCCAATAGGGCTTTCAGTGTTGCTGATTAGGACTTCTAGAAAACCCTGCTCTTCTCTGTAGTGATCCGAGTGACGTTGTGATCGTGATTCTCCCAAACAGGAGCTTTATCACTTCACTGTCTATGAGCAGGCATGGAATCACTGTTGGTGCCTGAGTTAGACCTTCTGGTGCTGTCCCCTGAGCAGAGATGAGGAAGCATTTTTTTGTTTGTTTTTTAATGTTCTTTATTCTTTAAACTGATTTCAAGAGAAAAATGCACAGAAATTGCAGAGTACCCATGGTCCACCTTCTCTCTCCAATACAGTTTTCCCTGTTGGTGACCTGTTACATCAGTCAGCATGGTACCTTTGTTAGAAATGAGGAGTCAATATTGATAATACATTATTGTTAACTAAACAGTGTAGAAAATCAAACCCACTGCCTTTGACTCACTTCAGACTCATGGTGACACACTCCATTGCGTTCCAAAGCTGTACATTTTTATGGGAGGGAGAAGACTGCCCATCTTTCTCCTGTGGAACTACTGGATTCAAACTACTGACTTTTTGGGATTCCCCTGCCCCAAAACAGTTATCTCTTGAGCAAAAGAAGTTCTTTTAATTTTTAAATCTTAGAACTATGTCATAAATTTATAATAGAAGCTTGAATATATACTGCTAGCATTTTTTTAATGCTTACATGATTCTCTAAATCCTCTATTACTATGAAGCCATCTAATATAAGAATAGAGGTCTAATTTTAGACTGAAGACATCTGTGCCTCTTTTATTTTTTAATGTTAATGAAAGTTTACAGAGACTTTGGATTTTCATTCATTCATTGTACTTTTCTCCCTGCCCATCCCCATCCTCCCCAATTCGCTCTTCTCTTTGAAAAGTAAAAGAAAAATTCTTTCATTTTTATACAATCCCTCCCCCCAAGTCCACTCCACTCTGCAGCCTTCACTCTGGACTCCTGTCATGACAATAATACCTAAACACATATCCCTTTTAAACAGTTCTCTCCCTCATCTGTTTTAATGCAGTATACATTATTTATCCCCTTTTGCTCAGTCTCCCCTCAAACCCTATGTTAGTCCCGTTTTACAACAGTGGCACTATGCAGTATTTGTCCTGTTGTGACTAAGATATTTCACTCCGCATAATGTCCTCCAGGGTCACACATTTTGTGTAATATTGCATGATTTCCTTGTTTCTCAGTGCAGCGTAGTATTCCATTGTATGAATGAATATACTACAGCGTTTCTATCCATTCGTTTGTTGATGGGCACTTGAGTTGTTTCAAACACTTTGCTATTGTGAACCAAGCCGCAGTAAACATGGGTGTGCAATCTGTGTCTCTTTCATGACAGGTACGGCAACAATTCCATGATGCCAAGTTCATGGCAGATATTGACCTGGATCCAGGCTGTACTTTGAATAAGAAGATCAGAAACGCACAGTTGGCACAGTACAACTTCATTCTGGGTATGAATGAAACTTCTCTGAATGTAAAATCTATTGCCATCGAGTTCATAGTGGAACCTCTAGTAGCCAGTTTTCAGAGGCTGTAAGTCACAGGGGTTCAGATCTGTTGTTCATAGAGTCGCTATGAGTCATACTCGACTCGAAGATACCTAACAAGGCAAGAAGTCACATAGGAGATTTCCCGTCTTTCTCCCAAGTTGGTAGGTTTAAATTGCCAGAGAGGCACAGCTTTTGGGTTAGCAAACTTCCTAAATCCCTACAGACTTCCCAGAATTTCCCAAACATTAAGGCTCAGCTTAGGAAGACCTCCTAAAATCTCATGATCAGGCCTCACTATTTTTCCATTCCTAAAACTATTTCATTTCTTCAACTAATGAAAAAGGAGAACATTTGGCATTATTCAGGAAGTTTTTATTAAGTTAGCTGCATTGTTCTTGTTGTTGACTGCTGTCTAGTTGAGCACGAGTCATAGCGACCCTGTGAACAAAATACCTGAAGCCTTTCTGTAACTGTTGTCATTTCTCAAAGTTCACAGAGTTTCCAGAACAGGTTGGTTAGGAAGTGGATGCCACTCCTGCAGTACTTCAAAACAAACAGCCCTTTGAGAGCAACATTGCAAAGCGGCTTAGATTTTCAAGAAACAAATAGATCCTTAAGTCGGCCACCAGCTAATTTTTATGAGTCTTTCAGATGGCTCTCGGGGGCCTAAGATTTTTCTGTATGGGCTCAGATGTTGAATCAGAATCGTTCTGTGTCTCCGGATTCAGTCTCACAGAGCTTTGTGTCATTGACATTTTAGTTGTTGGTGAAAAAGAGAAGGCGAGCGGCACCGTGAACATCCGCACCCGAGTTAACAAGGTCCATGGAGAGCGCAGCGTTTCTGAAACCATCGAGCGTCTGCAGCAGCTCAAGCAGGCACACAGCAAACAGGCAGAGGAGGAGTTCTAAGAAGAGCTTTCCCCCAGATGCAGGAGCCAGCGGTGCGAGGAGCAGGCAGTGGGCAGCAGCATTTCCCTAAAGTCTGTTTTCATCCAAGAGAACGTCCATTCCTGCTGAACTGGGAGTTCTTTGACAGCATCTATGTCGGTAACTGTGGGACAGAAGCCTTATCACAGGGGTTTTGGACGATGTGCTTTTAAGGAGTTAATCAAATCAGACTCATTAAGATGATTTTATTGGCTAAGTGTCTGATCACTGGAAACAAAACATGGGAAATGCTTTGGTGTTATGTGGAAAAACCTCATGTAGATTTCATGCAGTTGAAAACGAGATTTTTCCCATTTAAGACAACAGATAATCATTGGGTTATGACAAAATAAAAAACTTTTATTCATACAAGTTTCAAGACTGTTCTGTTCTTCACATACATACATAGCCAGAAACAAATACGCGGGTCAGTATTTCTCTTTCTGATGTTTTACAGCAAGTGTGCGGCAGAATGATAGAGGCAGGAAATCTATAGTGTATGCTGTCCTCGAGGATGCCAACTTCTTGGTCATAGGGTGCAAGTCTTTCTGCAGTGTTAATTTTACTTCATTTTGCGGGGGTGGGGGGTTTAGTAGAAACTTTCTGTTCTAAACAATCCTAGAACTATTTGAGAATAGATTGCACAGATTTTTTTTAAGTGTGATCCTTCAAAGAAATAATGTTTATGATGAACAGCCTTGAGTCCTAGAATACTCAGATTCCCTCTTCCATAAAGAGGATTTTCAAATTTTCTACCAGTGTGTGGCAGCTGGGAATACGCTATAGAATAAGCAAAGATGGTAAAGTTTTGTCTTTCTTATTTTGGACATCTAGCCCTGAGAGGCTTGGAAAGATGGGGTTCAGCAGAGGAGAGGAAGATCTGCAGTTAGATGGATTGACAAGGTGACGTCAGCAATGGCCCAGAAATGGGAGGATGGCACAGGGTGGGACATGGTTCAGGTCGACTGTTCATAGGGTCGCTATGAGTCATACTTGATGGCAACTAACAATAACAATCTGAGTATACATTAATGCCTTTCTAAGAATTCTTTTTTAAATCCGCATCTGTACCAGTTTCCCAATAACTTCAAATAGCTTATTTGCAAAGGTCACTTGAGAGGAAGCTAATTTGCATAGATCAATCCTCACTTTAATAAAAGAGATAAGATCTTTAATCATAGGGAGTATTTTTAAAACCTCATAATTAAGCTTTGCTGATAAATGTCTCAACTTTCGCTTTTGATAGATTCATAATTAATGTTTACATGTATTTTGAAGGAAACTAATATTTAAACAGAATTTTGCATTCTCAATAACAACACAGTTTTCTGATTTAAAACACTTTGATTCCCCCGCCCCACTTTGAAATCTCTGGCATGTTAATTAAGGTTTTCTTCAGTTTTAAAAATGTCTTATTACAGAATGATCATTTTAAATTATTTCCATAATATATAGTCCAAAGACCAGCTCTGGTTCAGCTAGACATCATTTTGGCATCTTTGGTTCACTTAACAAAAAATGTGGCTTGTGTGGTCTATTAATGGTTTCTATCGAAAGAATCAGAGAAGTTTAAGAAATCTGTCTCAAGACACAAAGGTATAATAAACACACTGTTTGGCAGGTTTGAGGATTGAAGAATCCTCTTTTTTTAATGACCTCCTACTTTGATTTTGGAGGCAGGGATTCTTAAGCTTCATCTGACATACTTTGGACATGTTGCACGGAGGGACCAGTCCTTGGAGAGGAGTGTCATGCTTGGGAGAGTGGAGGGACAGTGCAGGAGAGGAAGACCCTCGATGAGATAGATTGATTCAGTGACTGGGTTAATGGGGGTAGGTGTGTCAGAGACACTAAGATTGGCACAGGATAGAGCAGGGTTTAAGGCTCTTGTACATAAGGATGCTATGGGTCGCAGGCAGCGACTTGACAGCGCATGACAGTACCTTGATTTAGTCCTCACTTCGCTGGAAGCATTGTGACCCCACGCTAAGAGCTCCAATAGCCTTTGGCATTTCCATCAAACCTCTGCAACTCTTTGGTTTTTCTTTCTTCAGTAGCTGCCCTATTTATGATTGTGTTAGTCTCTTCTCCCACCCCCCTGCACCCCCGCCCACCAGTGTATGTTGTTGAAGAAAGGAGAACTCAGATGCTAAGCCTTTATTGAAAATCTAATGAGTTGTCTTATATTGGTAATCAAATAACCCTTGGGACACTGGAGAGGAGGTGAAACACAGGCATTGCCATGTTACAAATGCTATAAAGGAGTTCTGTAAGCTTGGTACTAAGTTGGAGAAAGGTAAAATGCAAACCAAGTCATGAAAGTTGTAACCAAGGTAGGAGTCGGGATAGAATTTCAAGTGCCAAGGTTAAGGTTTGTCAGGAGTGTTGGGCAGTATGAGGTAAGCAACCTAGAATGTCGGTCTGCATTTAGAATTGAGCCCTCTGACCACCTGACTCTTCTTGCTTCATTTCCTCAGCCGTGCAGCCCTGAGCACCTGCATGTCACTGTCTTTTGGTCCCCGTGTTGTGGTAACGAGCATTCAAACTAATGTACCATTTTCAGTTGAAATTGTGTCAGGTGTAATTGAATTGCCCTAGAAGAAGCATTTCAGAGACGGATGACCCAAGATAGTGCCAATTTCAGATATGTTCTTCAAAGGATAACTGTAAGTTTTAGGCAACTTGATGGCACCAAGCAACAACAGCAGAATGGCATTAAAATGCTGATTTTAATTCTGTATATGTAGGCTGAATCCAAAGAGGTTATATTTAACATTTCAGGTAATACTTTTAAAATGTTTCCATAATACACAGTCCAAAGACTAATTCTGGTTAAGCCAGATTTCGTGTTGGTACCTATTGTACATTAACAGTAACAAGCGGCTGATGTGGTCTGTCAGTCACACTTTTGGGAAGTTTCCATGGCTTAGACCGCAGAGAGTTGAACTTCTTACCCAGAGGCTGTACATTTCCAGCAGTTCTAATCCACTGATTGCTCCATGGGAGAGAAATGAGCCGTCTCCCTCCATTAACAATCAGTGGCTTTGGAGACCCCCCTGAAGGTCACTATGAGTTGGAACCAACTTGCTGGCAATGAGTTTAGAGGTGTTTTTAATATATGACTTGAATACCTCGGTTTTATGTCTCCTATCATAGCAATTAAAACTGCCAGACAATCCGCTGGTTTCTTCCAGCACAAGTCCTTCCTAGACTCGTCCAGCTGCCTGTGCGTCTCTGGCTCACAGCTCTCAGGGCCTGCAGCTAGGCACCGTCCTGTCAGCCTTCACTGCCCTCCTGAGTTGATTCTCTTGCCTGTATCTCAGGTTTTCCTTTCTCTATTCAGTTACTGACGGTGGCTTACTGGATCCTCCGGTAGCTTCCCCAAACAGGGTTCATAAGGAAACTTTTTTTGAGACATATCTGAATATGCCAAGTGTAAAATTGTTGGTTGGGAAAGTTTGGAAGACATCATTCCCACTGTCTCCCTTCTTGTGTTTCTGTAAGGATTTCATTCCTGCTCCCCTTCTGTGTAAGTAACCTGTTTTTCTCGGAAAGACTTGGATCTCTCTTCTTTGTGCTGCTGTGACATTTCAGGATGACTGGCTAGGTTTTCTGCCTTTCTTTAGAGTGAACATTCAATGTCAGCATTGTCAAGAAGTACATCTTTAAAAAAAATCTTTCATTTCTGAGGAATGATTTTCTTTTTTTTTTTTTTTTTTAAGTCTTTAATGGTTTCCTCCTTCACCTGCTTCTGTTGTTAATGGAGCATCTATTATTCTGGTGCCCTACTTTTCTAGATCTCCTTAACTGTATCTTGTCACTTTCTGTGTTATGTTTTGTAAAAAATGTCAGTTGCTGGGGCTTCCTCCTACCCCTATTTTAGAGAAAGCTATCCTGTTATATTATTAATCCTAGTACTAAAATTACCATGCTCTTAGTCCTTGGATTCTGATTTTTTTTTCCACCTTATTATTGTTAATGGTATTAATTGTGATTGCCTTAAGGTTTTATTCAGTCCACTGCATTACCTCTAGTTCTTATAACTGGTTTTATTCTGTCCACTGCATTACTTCTAGCTCTTATAATTGTGTTATGTTGTGGTTTGCTTTTCATAGTGCAACTTGCCTAATTTTGGGGAAACTTGTTTCATTAATTGAAACAAAAAAATTTGTGTGAGTGTATGTGTGTTTGTGAGAGAGAGAGAGAGAGAGAAGAGGTGGGTTGTAGTCTGGAGAACTTTACTAAAACTGAACTGATAGCTTTTTCATTCTGTTCTCACATGAATGAAGCTTCTGTTATTTAGATAGGGAGTCCTGGACTGTTCACCAAAAGTCCTGTAAGTGAATAGTCCAGTAGTTCAAACCTATCCAGGGTCACTTCAGCAGGAAGGCCTGGTGGTCTGCTTCTAAAAAATCACAGCCTTGGTAACTACTGAGCAACGTAGCTCTGTGTAGGTCATAGCAACTCCCAAGAACTAATTAATCAAATAGTCTACTTTCTGAGAGTTTTCATTAACTTTTATCAGTGACTTCCACTGTCTCTTTTCATTTTTTAGAGGTTTTTTTCCTTGTACTTAAGCCATTTCTTCTGTTGTTGCTTTTATGTGCCTGCGACTCATAGCAACCCTATGTACTTTAGTTCTGAACCTTGTCCTATGCTGAATCAATCTCATTATCTCCAACGGATCTGATCCCGTTTATCCAGTCACTGAATCAATCCATCTGATGCAGGGTCTCCATCTCCTGCTCTGTCCTTCCACCCTTCCTTCTCAAGCATGATGACCTTCTCCAAGGACTGGTCCCTCCTGGCCACATGCCCAAAGTATATGAGATAGAGCTTCAAATTCCTAGACTCTTGAGAGCAGCTTGGTTTCAACTTCCCTTCAGCACAGACTTGTTCTCCTAACAGTCCATGGTATGTTCAGCACTTCTCCAGCACCACAACTCACTCAAAGGCATTGGTCCTTCTTCTGTCATCTAAAG